AATGTATGATACGAGGCTAGCATTTTATGGTATCAAAATCTTATGAAAATATTACTAGAAAAGTACAAAGCAATATGCCTCCATGAACATGGCAGAAATTCTAAATAAAATTTTAGCAAGTTGACTCCAATAATAGGTAAAAAGGATAACAAATGATGTCAAGAGAGGTTTATACCAGAAATGCAAGATTGGTGTAACACCTGAAAATTAATCCATGTAATCCATCATTTTAACAAACTAAAAAAAATCATAAGATCATCTCAGTGGACCCAAAACAACAATAGAACCCAACACTCACTGCTCATTTAAAAACTCTTAGCAAAGTAGGCACAAACAAGAACTTCCTCAACCTGATGAAGGGCATCCCTGAGGAAACCCCTGTGAATGTCATATTTCATGAGTAAAGACTGAATGCATGTCCCCCCTTCTACCAGGAACAGGACAAAGTTGTCAGTTCTTGCTTTCATCTGGAAATCGCTTTGAGGAGAGCTGACATCTTAATTGAGACTTCAAATCAATGAACACGATTGATATACCTCTTCATTTAACATTATTACTTACCACTGTACTGGAGATACAGTGTGAGGTAGGAAAATAAATAAAAGGCATTTATATTGGAAAGGAAGTAAAACAGTCTTTACTTGCAGACATCAGGACTACCTATGTGAAAAATCTAACGGGATATACTAGATTCAACAGAAACTCCCAGAATGAAGAAATTAGTTTAGCAAGGTTGCGAGATGCAAGACCAATATGTAGAAAAATTTCTTATGTCCACATACTGACAGTAAATAATTAGAAACTGAAATTTTAAAAACAATAAAATAAAAAACCAAATTACACAAGCCCTTAAAAATTGTGAATACCTAGAGATATTTCTGTAAAAAGTGTGTAGGCTTGTCACTGGAAACCTGCTGAGAGAAATTAAAGTACATCTCAATAGAGGGAAGTATCAACCATGTTCACTGATTTGAAGAGTAAACATTTTCAAGATATCAATTCCCAACAAATGACTTCTAGATTGAAGGCAACTGTCAGAGAAATCCCAGCAATATTTTTATACATAATGATGTTTGTTCTAAAATTATCATAAAGAAATGTAAGGATCTAGAATAGACAAAATGATTTTGAAAAGGAAGAACAAGTTATAAATATATACCTATTGCAATATACAGCTAGCTATTCCACTCCTAAGAACAGTAGTTACCCAACACAAAGGAAAGCACATGTTCAGGAAAAGGCATAGACAGAAAAATTCCTAGCAGCTTTATTTATAATAGCCTAAACCCAGAAACAACCCAAATGTTCTGATCAGGAGAATGGACAGCCAATACGTTTTATATCTACACATAGTGGAATACTACTGATACATGCAACAATGATGAATCTCAAATTAATCATGCTTAGTGCAAAAAGCCAAAGAGTACACACTCTATGACTTCAACTTATATAATAGAAAATGCATCATATTGTCTCCCTGGTGTGAGAAACTGAAGGAGTAAATAAGGTCTAAAATGTACAATAGATATTGTGCAATGAGAAGAACTTGTTCAAAAGGAAAAAGGAATTAGGATGGGTGAAAGGGGAAAGGACAGGAGGGAAAATGGAAAAATGCAAGTCAGTTATACTATTGCTGTCTCTTAGTTCATTAAAAAGGAAGGTGTGTTCTCTAAATATCAACTGGAGAAATTTTTATGCCCATATCTTGTACCCTGAGCAGCTATGTTAGAGATAACAACGTGTAATGTATTAACTGTTATTATTCTCCTATTATTTTGTTATGAAATTTTGTTTTATCTTCTCTCCATAAAATTAAAAGAAACATAAAAAAAGAAAATGGAAACTAATATATGTCAGAAAGAAGATGGAAATCAGCCACGGATGCTTAAATAACACATGGTTTCTCTTATTTGAGAAACTCAAAATATAAATAAAGAGCAAAATAATGTAAATAATAGGAAATAGGGAGAGCTTTTGCAAAAGGGAAGGGGACCAAGGGGAATGAGAGATGGGGGAAGGAAGGGAAAAATAATTAAGAAAAAGGGAAAGAAACAAATGGAAATAGAACTTTTTCAAATGGAAAGGGGATTAAGAGTTGGAGGGAGCAGGGAGGGACGGGAAGATAAGACAAAAAAGGATTAAGATGTTATGTACACGTACCAACTCCCCATGATAAATGTAATCGTGCAGTACTAATAAAAAATACAGGGGCCAGGGGTATAGCTCAGCGGCACAGCGCCTACTTGGCAAAAGTGAGGTCCTGAGTTCAATTCCTGGTTCCAATAAATAAATAATACATTAATAAAATTGAAAAAGATGGAGGGGGGAAGGAGAGAGGGTTAAGCAGATGAAAAACAGAATTAAGATGTATTATGTGTATGGACCAACTCCCTATGAGGAATATAATTATTTTTAGCAGTATATGTATTGCAAACAAGAAACGATTAAAAAATTTTTTTAAAGAAAGCAGATGGGGCAGGAGACTGAAGGAGCAGTTACATAGTGTTTTAGGCAACCGGGTTAGATAGAAATATTATAGGCAGTCAGATAGGGCCAGGCCCTCAAAGGAGCCAGTGCAGAAGAGGAGATATCTTGCAACTGTGGGAGAGACAGACACCTCCAGCTGTGGGCCAACCCTTAAGACAAAAGATAAAACAAATGCACCCACACATACCTCCTTAAGGCTCTAAATAGGTCTCTATCACCTTGAGAAAGCCAAGAAGAGTCACTAACTCAAACCCCTACAAGAAAAGCCCCTGTTCTCTATTCATGCCTGCTTGCTACATGACTCGATTCCCCATTTGATCCCCATTTAATCAATTTTACCTGAGTATTTATGCTTGTAATCTTATTGGTTGACTATAGTTTTGTCTCACCTCATGCCCACCTTTCGAGTCCCCATGTTTTCCACCTTGGACCCGCCCCATGTTATGGATTTGCTCCATAAAAATCCCTTGAAAAGGCTGGTTTCTTGGAAATCCACTCGGGTCCCCTTCTGTTTCTCTCTTGGACAAAAAAGCTTTCTTCCCTCAATAAATATATTCTGCTGTTAGCCTCCATTGTTCCTAAAATTCCTTCTTTGATTTTAGAGAACACGAACTCGTATCAGATATCTAGCAGGTTGGGAGTTTCTTTCCCCTACATCAAGAGTAGAACTGGAGGAGATATGTCCGCTATCTGTTCATTACCTTGGTTGCAGTCATAGTTTCAAGGGTGTCCAAACATGTGAAAAGAAGCAATTTAGGTATGTGCATTTTATTTTGCCAATTATACATCAATAAAACTTCATACAACTTTATGAGGGGGATCTGTATATGTAGATATGGACCTATATCCTGATGTAATAAGCAAAGGAAGAAGTTCTAGAATGTCACATACAGTTTGCTTTTATATTTGGTGGAAAAAAACTAGTAAGACAAAGTTAAAATCCGCAACTCTTACTATTGCAGCAAGTAACCATCCAGGGACTGATATGCCGTGTTTAACACCGCTCTCCTATCACTTTTGTTACTTAGAAAGCTTCTTTGCACGTACTGTATATTGATAAAGGAGTGCACTTTCAGGAGAGGTTAGCTTTTGGAAACTGGTACCATTAGGCACTTCTATTTGGAGAAGACGGCCATTCATTGTCCAGACAAGCGGCCACAGAGGTTTAGCAGAAGACTTGCAAACACGAAACATCCCACTCCCTCGCTAACAGGCGCCCCAGAACCCACGGCGAGCAAAAACTTCATTTAGTTGCCAGGGAACGCGCGGGGGGGACCCGGGCCTTCCGGTGGTAAGAGCTGGACGCATGCGCAAAGGGGGTTGTGAGGGTCCGTCGCGCGCCCCCCAGTCCGCCGGCCAGAGGAACGGGCGGGCTGCGCGCTCTCCGGGGGCTTCTTCCGGGCGCCCTAGAGACTGCTGGGCTTCAGCCAGTCTGGTTCTCGGACGCCAGAACGCGCGTAGATGAGTTCGTTGTTTTCCTTCTGGGCAAAATTCCGTATCTGGGGTTAGCGGAGAAGGCCGGCCTGGAACAGCTGCGGGGGGTCGGGGGGTACGGTTGTGAGGCGGGAGGGCGTGGCCTCGCCTTTTCGTCAAGCTGGGCATCTCTTGGCCCCGCCCACTAGGTCCGGCCCCGCCCCTGGATCCACCCCGCCCCCTCTCTGGACCGACCCCTCCGCCAGCCTGCTCCAAGCAGATCCCCCTTTCCGGAAACCCAGGAGTCTGTTTTGCGTAGAGTTTGGGTCCTGTATGCTGTGTGAGGCCCAGGTGGTGAGTTTCTTACCTTGTTTGTTTTCCTGCAGTGACAGGTCCTGGACCCAGGCCGGTCGGATTCGGTCACCTGTGCATCTTCATAGGGTAAGCCCAGAAAGGGTTTCATTTCCTTCCTCTCTCCAGCCTGTCTTTACTGCGTTGCTGTTTCTAATGCGTCTGATTGCTGAAAAGTGCCGAGTGTTACACGAGGTTGCGCTGCACGACTTCTTGAAATATTTTATAGGAGCGTAACACTGCATAGTGCAGAAGTTTTTATCTGCTGCCTGAAATGTTGGAAAGCACACACTGACCTTTTCTGTGAATGGAAAGAATCAGCACGCTTTCAAGTACGCCGGGCTTTGTGTTTGGTAGGTGTGACTTAAAAAAAAAAAACTTTTCCCCAAATTTGAAATTGAAAAATAAATTCTGACAATTTTCTCCTAGAAAAAATATTGCAAGTGATTCCATCAGTCATTTCTATTAGTTGTTAGGTCCTTAGAGTCCTCGGTACTGAAGTGGATTCTGGCCCTGTGCAGCAAGCAGGCTTCGCTGTCCCGGGCCTGGCTGGGTGTCCTCAGCCTCTTTTCCTTTTAGAGTCTGGAGCAGAGGTTGGGAGTGAAGCACAAAGAGCCGCCTCCGTGGTTCCCTGTCACCGCATTCAGGTGCTTTAACAGATTGCGCGCTTCAGGGTCCACACACCCCTGTCCTGGCATCTCAGAAGGTGTTTTCAATCCGAGTATGTTTGGCAAACGTCAGCCTTCATATGCCTTAATTAAAAATAAACATAACCTGTTCTGAAATAAAAAGCTTTCAGTTTAAGTAAATGTATCTTAATATCAGAGAGAGGGTTGAGAAACTAGAAAATTGCTAATTACTTATACAAATGTGAAAATACCAAAAAGGTAGGAGGCGCTGTCTTAGGAAAGAATCGAGTGATATCTGTATTCCTTATCTTTTCTCTCCTTGACTCTGTTTTATTTGATTTGGGTATTTTTCAAAAACTATAGCTTTTAGACTTAGAAGGAAACTTGGAGGTCGTGTCAGCTGCACAGAACAGAAACCTTTTTGACAGCATTGAAACAAATCGTGTTTTGTCCTAGGCTTGGATTATATTTAGTGGAAGAAGGTATTGCTCCTTGACACAACTGATTCTTTTGCTAAAAGGCTGTGTGTTTTAAAGCACTATATTGGAGAAGAAGTCTCCAGCCTTCTTTCTAGGATATGCCTCTCCCGGTATTGCACCAGTGCCTGTGATTCTTGACCCCTTAGCAGTCTGCTTTTCCAGCATGCCACTTTAGTAAGTAGATTAAATAATGGACATTTGATAATCATTTGTTCATTTTCTTCTTGCTGCTTCTAACGAATTTATCTAGGCTATTGAGCTAGTGTTGAATCTTTATTCTGTTATGTGTAGTATTTACACATTATCTCTGTTGTTAGGAAAATTGAAAATTTTAGCGTTGTTAAGTACCTTTTGTGAGAAGCACTTGGTGATGGTTCATAAGACAGTTGCTTCAGTTGCTGCTCCTGGTTGGTTTTGAATGTTCTAACAGGCTACCATCTGCTTGGTGATCATTCTCTCTTGTCTGTGGGAGATTTCTTAGACACTTGTAGAGAACCTGATTCACATGGTCACCTGATATACCATGTTAGTAAACAAATCAAAAAAGAATTCGGGCATAGCTGTTAAGTGAACGTGAGTTATCACCATTTTCTATATGCCAGGAAGCGTGGTTCATGCTCTAGAATTGTGCTAAGTATCCAACTCACTTATTGTTCTCTTTTCAGAAGTGTGGTTTATAATTTTGTTACAGGAATATCAGAACCTCCAAATATGATGTAAGGGAAATACTATAACTCTCAACCTGTGAGATGTCTGATACACCAAGCTTGTGTTTTCTAGAAATCAAACAATGAATTCTAGGAACAATGAGTTAAGAGTAAGGAGGTATTTATTGAGAGAGAGATATAGCTCCTGAGAGGCAGGAGGGGGCCCAATTGGGTTGCCCAAGGATCCGACTGTGTATAGATATTCTGTAGAGCAAAACCCACATGGGTACAATGTGGGTTACAGCTATGCTCACTCAATAAGATTGTAAGTGTAGCTGCTTAGGTAATATTGATCCAGTGGGGAAGCAAGGCATGTATTGAGTGCACATGGAAAGATCCAAGAACTTCTAGGAAATGATAAGTCCAGAGGTCTTGGTCACCCACTGGGATAGCTGATGTCTGTCTAGGCTTCATTGGGCCTGGTGTCAGTCCTTCGAGGAAGAATGCAAGCCTGGTTGTTTCCTCTTTATCTTGAGGCCTGATCTCCAACAGATGTGTCTCTGGCCACAGTTGAGATGTGTCTCACCTTTGTCCTGGCTCTCTTGAGGGCCCAGCCCTATCTGACTGCCCGTAATATTTCTACCTAGCTTAGCTGTCTCTAATAATTTGACAAGGCCTTATATTCTGATTTTGACTTCTGCCCACCTTCATAATTCCAGATAGTAACTCTAAGGCAGCAGTCAACTTCCTTCAGTAACCAGGGAAGTAATCCATCTGACCCTGAGGACTACTGACCTGATCTGAGATAGGTATTAGTACACCATCAGTCTCAGGTAGCAATTCTTCATTTACATATGTTTATCAAATTATGTCACTAATCTCTAGCATAAAGAATGGCCTAGAATATATAAAGAACTCAGAAAAATTAGATCCTCCCCAAAATAAAAGACCCAATAAAAAAATAGACAACTTAAATGAATAGATACTTCTCAGAAGTACAAATGGCCGATAAATGCATGAAAAAATGCGCATCATCCTCAGACCATCAAAAAAAAATGCAAGTTAAAACTACACCGAGATACTGTCTTACCCCAGAAAGAATGCTTATCCTCAAAAAAAAAAAAAATCTAATAATAACAAATGCCGGCAAGGATGTGGGGAAAAAAGAACTATACTGCATTGTTGGTGGGAATGTGATATATACAGTGGAGCACTATGCTGCTATAAACAATGATAAACTTGAGGCATTCATAGGTAAATGAATGCAACTTGAGAGCATAATGTTAAGTGAAATAAATCAAAAACATAAGCTCAAAAATTGCATGATTTCTCTTATATGAGAAACACAAATAACAAAGTAGAAGAAAAATAAATAGGAGATAGGGAGAAGTTCAAATACTTTCCTAAATTACAAATTCCATTGTTTAAAAAATATTTCAATATATATGCTAGTTGGTTTCATTCATAGTACTAGTTTATCTTAGTTTATTGCAAAGAAAGATTAGTGTTACTGTTTCTTTTTTGTAAGAACCTTTTTGGTTTATGTCTTGTAGGAACCTTTTTGGTTTATGTCTTGTAAGAACCTTTTTGGTTTATGTCTTGTAAGAACCTTTTTGGTTTATGTCTTGTATTCAGAGTAACTACTTTGAAGATAATGATGCATAGTATAATAACTGTTGTTATTATTTGATTATGGAATTTTATTTTTTCATAAAGAATTTTAAAAAAAGAAAAAGGAATGGCCCAAAGGCAGACACAGAGGGACAGATACCCTGTGTTTGTCATGTTCTGTCCCATGTAGAAGGTGGAGGGTCGGAGGAGAGGAGGGAAAGGGGATAGAGGGAGGTTGGATAATGGATACCAAAACACAGGGAGGTAGAAGGAAGACGGTCTAGCGTTCAATAGCACAGTGGGATGACTACAGTTCACAATAGTATTTTAAGAAGAACTAGAAGAAAAGAGTGCAAAGGCTTCAAACATAAAGAGATGATAAGGAAATCAAAATACTCATTACCTTGATTTGATCAGTACACATTGTGTGTATGTATTGAAATATTACAGTGTACCCCATGAGCAGTACATGTATTACATATTAATAAATTTTTTTAAAGTAAAAAGAATAGGTCGCAGTCATGGAAATAAGCTCTATTTAGAAATCAGTGGAAAGATTCTGCAGTAAATGAAACTGTCATCTGATTTGGAGCATACAGTTACTTGTGTATTCTTGTTTGGGTGTTCCCTGAAGGTGTGCTCCATGGCTCCTGTCACCCTTATTCTGGACACTATATCAAGGAGGAAGGGCCACGCTTACCTTTTTTGGAAACAGTGGTTTGGCTGATAACAGAAGAAATGATGGCAACAGGGAAATCAGATTGTACAAATTGAGCCCCAGTGCATTCCTGTGTCTGTCCTTCAGACCACTGCTTTAGGAGTAGAATTCAGAGAGAAATTGAGAACTGGAAAGGGCAGAAAATAGAGATTTAAAACAAACCTTTAGTGGATAGATAGATTGCCTTGGCTGCCTCCTCTGTGTAGTTGAGTGTGCCTTACAAAAGCAGAATGCATTCCTCTCTCTCTCTCAAATTTGCCTGTTTGATTATTGTAACTGCGATGATGTTATACACTGCTAAAAACTAGAACTATTTACACAACCTATAAATGAATGAATGTAGTCATTTAAATATTAAACATTTAAATATTTTGCAGTGTCTCTCTATAGATGCTATTAAAATGTGGATTTTCACAGCCCTTTGACTGTCTAATCCATAGCCTTAGTAAAGCTTCAGATATCATTCCTGGCAAGTACTGGAGTATTTCATTAATCAGGCTAGTTTTTTTTCTTTTTTTGATGGACAGAAAGTAGTTCTGGAATTAATTTCCTAACAAAACTCTTCAGTGTATATAATGATATATAAATAACATAAATATAAAATTACTGGATGTTTCCTTATAATTCTGATGAATATGTTTTGTGGTGTTTTGCCGAGATAGCAAGTGAAGTCAGATGGATGTTGGTGAGTACCTTGTGGCAGCAGTTGCTTCATTTCATTGGGTCAGAGTGAACTGTAACTTGGAAGCCTTCTTTCGGTAAGCAAGGCTTAAAAAAGGAATGATCAGTTTATTAGGTTTAAAAAGAAATTACTGGTGTTTTAAATGGTTACATATATATTTTATGTCAGGGCTTTCAAGGTGATAGAAATCAATTATGTCTTATGTTCTAAAATGTCTTTTATTGATGCAGACTCATAAAATTGTTTCTATGAAGTTTATAATCTTCAGATGAATTTTATGATCTGAAAATTAATGTCCACAAGAAGAAAATTAAAATATTACTTTTACTACATTATTGGTATTCACATAATACCCTTTATTTATGGTGTTTGTATTATCAATAAATTGACAATTTAATGACTTTAGTACAATCAGATTTAATATGTAGCATAATCCTTTGTTCAGAGAACTGTGAGGCAGTTTTCTAACCTGGTATTTAGGTGAATGCTTTGTTTTATTTTTGGCTTCACTGCTTTTTTAGTACAGGATATCAGGGATAATATTTTTGTTAATAATTTAGTGAAATTTTAACTGTCCATTTTATAGGTTAACCAAATATAGATGACAAGAAAAATGTTAATGAACATGCTCTGTGTCTGAGTTTAGAATCCAGCTTCCATCCCTTTACCTTACTGTTTATGGAACTAGCATTAAAGAGTAGATCAGTAGCATGCACTCTGAATTATGGGTAATCAGCAGTTTCATGTAGTCTCCGTTATATTCCTGAATGCATAACTGGTTTATTCAAACTAAATGTATACAGTAGCTCTTTTTTGATACTTGAGATACAGCTTTGCAACTCTTTTTATTTTTCATTTCAGTTTTCCATACTTTAAAGATGACTTTCCATTCTATTCGGTGACTTCATAAGTCAGTCCTGCTTCTGGGATTCAACTCTATATTGTGGTTAAGAAATGTTTCGCATCAGACAGAGTGAATCACAAGACAGATATATTTACATATTAAATAAGTATTTCATTAGATTTGAAGGTATGTTTCAATTATGACACTCACTATTCTGTATATACATTCCTAACATTGAAGGATGAAAGGAGCATTAGTTAAAATTCAGAACCATGCTTACTGTTATTTTGCTTTTCAAATAATACTTAAAATTCTTTGGATTCTTACATAACATATATGTAGAAAATGACCAAATATATTTGAGTATATTTGGATTTCAAATTTGTTGGAACTTAGCTATGTCCCAAGCTAATACCTGTGGATTCCTGTTTTCTTTGGGCCGGGAGAGAAAATGCCCATTCTTTTGCTATTTATTATTGACTAGAGAGGGTCTGGTGTGGTGCTTTCACAGAGTTCTGTTCCTGATAAACCTATCTTCCCTAGAGTTTTCATGTACCTGCTGTTATATGAAAACTGGATCACTTGCATTCGTTTTAGAATGATGCTTTGACTTAAGGAGTGAAAACAGTTCAGAAAAATTCATTGGACAATTTAGTATAACAACACAGACTGCAAAATTCATTAAATGCTTACTACGTGCTGCCATATAAAATACTTCAGTCCTCATGACAACTTTATCAGATGGGTACTACTGTTCTGCCACTTTAAGATGAGAAAACTGAGGCATAAAGGGTCATTTCCTCCTACAAGATCACATGGTTAATGAGTAGCTTAGCTTGAGACTTACCCAGACCTATCCTTTTAATTATAATATTCTGTAATGCAAACCTCCCAGGAGTTCTTGGCAAAATTGCAGTGTGATGCTTCCTTTTTTGTAGGATCTGGTAAGAAACTATAATTGACCAGGGGAAAAACCTGGGACATCAATGTATTGCTTCGTTGGACGTTTCCTCTCAGAAGCTCCCAACCACTCTTCCCATACACAGACTCATTCACATACCGTTCTCTTTTTCTTATAGTGAAGCTTGTTCCAACCTCAGTCGTATCATTTAGTGTTGCAGTTTACCATTTAAGAGTAGGTTTGGGGACAGGGATATAGCTCAGCAGTGCAAGCACCTGCCTAGCAAGCACAAGGTCCTGAGTTCGATTCCTGATACCCCCCTGCAAAAAAAGAGTAAGTTTGCACGTACTCATCTTAGTATTGCTAGCACAAAGCAGCACCTATCAATGTGTGGAAGTGGAAGATTACCACTAAATTTGTGTTAATTAAATAATTTTTCATTTTCTAATATTACTCTGTATAGGTAGTGTTAATTTTTGATGGAAACATAAAAAAGATCAAACAACATTTTGTGCTATTTGCAGAATGAAGAGGAGTGATTGCTCTGTTGTGAATACAGTTATCCAGTCATCACCAGCAGTGAAACAGCTCAGACTTGGGTTCTGCCCGTCCCTGGAGCAGACTCACATGCACACTGTTCTCCAGGACTGGGGGAGTTTGCCTCACCATGTGGTATTACGAATTTTTCAGTATCTTCCTTTAATAGATCGGGCCCGAGCATCTTCTGTGTGTAGAAGGTGGAATGAAGTGTTTCATATTCCTGACCTCTGGAGAAAGTTTGAATTTGAACTGAACCAGTCGGCTACTTCATATTTTAAGTCTACTCATCCTGATCTCATTCAGCAGATCATTAAAAAGCATGCTGCACATCTTCAGTATGTCAGCTTCAAGGTAAGGAAAAGAAGCACTAGATACAAACATCTGTTTATATTTCATTAGCAGCATTTTTTAAATATGTGGATCTTTGAGGCACTCAGTAAATTTTCCAGAATTTTTGTCCCGGAGTGTTTCTTGTTTTTCTCTAGTTATTATGTAGGTTGAAATGAAGAACTTGAACTCGAATTGAATAACTTAGCCTTTAGCATTCTTCATCTGGATGGTATTATTAAAAATCAGATAATCCTAAAAGATTTGAAAATACGAAATCTTTGTAAAGTTAATATGTCCTCATCTCTGTTTCTCACTTTATGAGACACTCTGTATAAAGAAAATATCCTTTATATCAATTGAAGGAATAGATAATATTTTCAATTGAATTCTGTTAGATAATTTGGGTTATCTGTTCGATAATTTACATAATTTTATTTCCAGTAACTCTGAAGATAAAACTTCAGAAAGTTCAGATTAAAAATTGTCTTTACAGGTTGATAGTAGTACTGAATCAGCAGAAACTGCTTGTGATATACTTTCTCAGCTGGTAAATTGTTCCATCCAGACTTTGGGACTGATTTCAACAGCCAAGCCAAGTTTTATGAATGTGTCTAAGGTAAGGATACTATGCTTTTTTGTGAGATAGAGTAAATTCTTAAATATTGCCAAACTGGGAAAAAGGATTCCTCCTCTGTTGATTAGCACTTGTTTTTGTTTAAGGACTTCATATGTGCTTTCATTCTTTAGTTCTATTTTGTAATTTTAGTCATTGTTTTCACAGTAGGAATCATTAATACAAAATTTGTTTGTGAAGAAGCGGGGGAGGGGGGATTTTTTCCTTCAGGGTAGCTGGAAGGGGAAAGACCTGACTTAGGTAAGTGAGGGTCTCTCCTGATGGGAAGCTCTGTTTTCTAAGGTGTAAGCAGGAAGTAGAAAAGGAGGCGTTGTTGGGGTCAGGTAACAGTGCCCTTACTTGGCCTCTTGCTGCCGTCTCCCCTATTAGGGGCTTCATGCCCTCCATGAACACAAAGCTGAGTGAACTGATGGATATCCCCACCTCCAAAGGAGAAAAAGTTCTTACTGCTTGGTCCTTCACTGATAACACAAAGCAGAGCAGTATTTTTATATTTAAATGTAAAAGCAAAAAAATTATATATGGATATGTGCAAATGTGTGTTTTTTTCTAAAAAAAGGAAATCATCCTGATCGCTGAGTGCCAAATAGGGTTTAGTTTCAGGTAGGGGTGGTCAGTGTAGCTCTTGGTCCTTCATTTTCAAGTGAGGGTGTCCGCCCCACCTGTCTGCAGGAGAAGGACACTGGATGGTTAGCAGGCGGTTGTCCAGGCCTAGCTGTCACCTGAGCCTCGTGGCTGTGTTTAAAGACACACCACACATACCCATCCACACTTGGGTTTAGAAGTGTGAGTTGGCAGGTCAGCATGAGCATGTCATGTGTGCAGGAATTCTTTTCCTACCTTTTAGTGTAATTTTACAGAATTGCCTTTTTGCTTCAGTTGTTTCCTTCCACTGTGCTCTTAGAACTGGGGACAGGGCTAGAGTTAAAACACTTGTAATTTTGTATGTCAGCACAGAATGTTCCTTGTAAGTTTCCTAAGGAGTTGCTTCTTTCATAATAAACTCCACCTCCACTCCTACATTTTCCCTCCTGCTTGTTTGCTGTTTTTGTGCTGGGTGCAGCAGGCCGGCTGTGGTTTTCTCTTGTCATGATGACTTCTACTTGCCGCGGCCAGTATGCTCAGTCAGGTAACTACTCATTGTAAACAATGTAACTGTCTAGAGCAGTGCTCACAAATCAGCCTAACATTTGTAAGATCTTCAAAAGAAATAAATAAATAAAATTAGATGTTAAATTTACCATTTTCAAGTGCTAATTTATTTTGAATATGGAGTATAAAAGGGCAATCCTGGATATTTTATCTGTAATTCTATAGCCTTTTGGAGATGTAACAGTGTTAGATTTAACTAAATGAACTGTCCTAGTTGGAGCAATGCTTGAATTCATATAGTAAGTAGAAACTCCAGTAGTAGTTTTAAAAATGTGACTAAAGTTTACTTCTTTCACGTTAAAGAAATCCACAGGTGAGACAGTCCACAGCAGGTATGAAGTTACTAGGAATCTAGGCTCCTTCCAGCTCCTCCACTCTCCCCAAGATGTTTTCATAATTTTCATTGTCTGAGATGCTCTCTGAGCTCCATTGGGATCCTGTCCTTGTTCTAGGTGCCTGAATGGAAGAAAAACCAAGGTAAAGAAGGGCCTTCTTCTCAAGGAGACTTCCCATAAATTCACAGGATACTTTGTGTCTCGGTCTGGGACCGCAGCAAATTTCAGGAAGAGGAGGGGATAATTTTTCAGCAGCAGACCCAGCTAAATATTGGGAATAGACAACCAAAGAGAAAAGATGAACAGTTGTTAGGAAGCGGCAGAGGTCTTGGCCACAGGAACTACTGTCTTCTCTTCACTTGGGCTCACTTTGAGTGTTCCCTCTACAGACAGCCTTTCCTCCCAAAGCTCCTTTGCTAAACTAGCAATAGCACTGTGCTAGTGTGAGCAGTCCTTGAAGTCATGTAGTAGAAACGCCAGCAGTAACTTTGAAAATGTGACCTCCTCCAGCTACTCTCTGCTGTTGCAATACTTTATCTCCTTTGTCATTCCTTGGTACTTGAAGCTACCTTACTTATTCATTTACCATTATTTATTCTTTTTTCTCTACTCCAAAACATGAACTCATTAAAAGAAGAGATCCTGTCCATTTTGTTTACCGTATTAAACCCAAATTAAAACAATGCCTGAGGTATGATAAGCACTAAATTCTGGTTGTCTATAAAACTAGCTAATTGACACCCCCCCCCATTGTAGGGATAGAAGAGTAACAGCATCTTTGCACTCAGCAACTGGGTCAAGGCTGGCTGTCTTTCAGTGAGCCTTTCTGCCAGCATGTTTACTTTTAAAGAGACATGCAGAAAAAAGGGGTCATTTGGGAATTAGAGTAATGTAAACAATCAGATGGAAACTTATACTTTTAAATAGTTATTTCCTTGTTTAGGAACTGTAGAATCAAATGAGCTGGAAATTTTTGTTACATTCTAAAAGTTCTAGCTACTGTTGCATGTCAGCCTCCAGGGCCAGCTGCCAGGATGCTGCTGCCCTCACTGGAACGGGCACCAGATATTAGCAAGCCTCATCGCAGGCCCTAAGTTCAGTTAAAATGAGCTCAGTCGCCTCTGGCAAGGTTGGGGTTCTCTCCGAGACTCAGTTTTTTTTTTCACTTATACACTGAGGAAAAATAAGATACAATCATATCATTTTTGCTAAGCATAATAATTATTAAACAAGTACATTGTTATTATAATGAAATATGTACTTTAAAGCTTAAATGTCCTTTAAGACTAAAATGATTGAATTAAAAGAAAAGTAAACCTATTTATTAACAGGAAAGAGACATAGTTCTTTAATAATTTTGTACCATGATATTTAATAGCCCATCACCATGTGAAAATTTGTATAAACCAGTGTATAATTAGTGTAAATCAGTATACTTCTATGAATAATTAGTGTACATGACCAGTTTAGTCATTCTAATAGGGACAAGAGGTCCTTGAATAGAGTCCAGCTTGATTTTGAGGAAAGAAAAGTGAACATGCCTGATGGGTGTGGTTTTCAAACTTCCTGTCCTTGGATCTGAAAACTTCTAAAATTCGCATTTTGAAGTAAAAATATAAGCTTCAGTTTTTACATTTTCAAGGCATGTGAAGATTTGGCTGTATTTCATTTGGATGAAGATTTGGATATGTTTTCATTTAAGTAATTTGCTAGGAAAAGTATGTCACCCGAGATTGTAAAATCTCTTCTCTCCCTCCCTCCTCCCCTCACGCTCTTCCTGCACATTTTTTGAACATCTCCTATGAACCAGACACTGTTTTAGGTCTGGAAATACAGGAATAAATAAAACAGATACACATTTTTGTCTTTTCTAGGGAAGGAGTTGAAAGGGTCTAAAAAATATATATTTCAGGCTTTGAGAGCCTTATAGCTCTGCGTGAGATAGCTCTAGTACTAAAGGCCAAAACAGACAATGCGTAAATGAAGGGGCATGGCCACCGGACAGACGTTATTTGTGGACACTGAGTTCCGTGTGTCTTACAGGGCTCACACATATGATTCTTTATTTTTTTCAACACATAACCTCCTTCCTTATCACTGGGACAAATATCTCACGCCTGTGGGTATTCAAGGAGAGCTTCACGTGGGCTCACAGATTCAGAAGTTCACATGCATATTTAGCAGGTTGGAGCACAGAAACAGCATTGTGGAAGGGCCTGCTGTGGAGAGATTCTGCTCACGTCGTGGTGGCCTGGTACCAGAGAGGAGAGGAGAGGAGCTGGGGAGGGAAGTGCACCCTTGCAGGGCGTGGCTCCAGTGACCTGCCACTTGCAAGGAGGCCTCACCGGCCCCCAGCACACTGAGCTGTAGTTCCGTGATCCAGTCCTCCCTCCCAAAAGCCCTACCTCTGGACAGATGAGGACACTGCAGATCTAAACTGTAACAGCACTTCAACAGTGCAAAAATTCTTAGCTCATGACCCATACAGTAACAGACTGTGTGCTGGATTTGTCTAGTGGTTCATCATTTGCCAACCCTTACTCTAGGAAGCAAATATAATGATATCCTTTTAAAACTGAAAACCAGATTCTTAAGGTTGGAAATAACTGGAAAATCTATTTTATGAAATTTTGGAAACTTTTTCCCTCTGACCGTTCCATTTGTCAATTTTAAAAGTGTAAAAGTGCACTTTGTTCTAAAAACACCTTTCATTGGCTAATGGTACTATGAGGACAGTAATGTATTAATTTTACTATATCATCATGTGTTGATATATTTTTAATGAATTCTTTTTGGTTGAAGCTGTAGAATTTTAAATAATGTTTTCGTACTCTTTTTCTTATTGCCATGCAAGTCTCATTTTGTGTCAGCACTTACAGTTGTGTTCATCAACTCAAAGTCATTATCATCAATCAAAATTGAAGACACACCAGTGGATGACCCTTCACTGAAGATCCTCGTGGCCAATAATAGCGACACTCTAAGACTCCTAAAAATGAGTAGCTGTCCTCATGTTTCATCTGATGGTAGGTTACATGTTTTTAAAGACTGAATTTTTTTATTATAGTAAGAGTAACAGTAGAATTTTTCTGGGATTTTTTTGAAAAGGGTTTTGCAGTGTAGTTCATGGTGACCTTGAACTTGCTGTGTAACACAGGCTAGCTTCAAACTTGTGATCTTTCTGCCTTAGCCTCCTGAGTGCTGAGATTATAGGCATGTGCCAACATGCACAGCTTTAGAATTTCTTATTGAAAATTACATGTTATGAAACATAATTCACTGATGTGATTTTATTCAAAATAGATATTAATTTTCAAGCTATATATTATTTAAATTGCTTCTTTTGCAAATATTTTAATATTTTATATATACAGATATATATATATATACACACTTTGTATTATCTGCGTAGTTAGTATCTTTGGAACCATCTCAGAAATCCTTAGATGGCTGTTGTAGGAAATAGTGAATAATTACTATCAAATTTAAATTTACAAAATATTATATTAGTATGATTCTTTGTTAAGAAACTTTCTCAATTTCCCACAGGAATCCTTTGTGTGGCTGACCACTGTCAAGGCCTTAAAGAGCTGGCCTTGAATTACTACATTCTAAGTGATGAACTCCTCCTAGCACTTTCAAGTGAGACTCATGTTAATCTTGAACATCTTCGAATTGATGTTGTAAGCGAAAATCCTGGACAGATGGAATTTCATTCTATTAAAAAACGCAGCTGGGATGCACTGATTAAACACTCCCCAGGAGTTAATGTTGTTATGTACTTCTTTTTATATGAGGAAGAATTTGAGACATTCTTCAAAGAAGAAACTCCTGTTACTCACCTTTATTTTGGTCGCTCAGTAAGCAAAGCAGTTCTGAGACGGATAGGTCATAACTGCCCACGACTGATAGAGTTAGTGGTGTGTGCTAATGGCCTTCAGCCTCTTGACAGTGAACTTATTTGTATTGCTGAACACTGTAAGAACTTAACAGCCTTGGGCCTCAGTGAATGTGAAGTTAGCTGCAGTGCGTTCATTGAGTTTGTAAGACTCTGTGGAAGAAGGCTAACCCAGCTCTCTATCATGGAAGAAGTTCTGGTCCCGGATGACAGTTATAACCTAGAAGAAATTCACACTGAGGTCTCCAAATACCTGGGAAGGGTGTGGTTCCCCGAGGTGATGCCTGTCTGGTAACCAGCTGCCAACGATTCTGAACTACTTTTTTTTTTCCTCCTTAAGATTAGCTGCTTTCTACCTATGCAAATGTAAATTTTATGATACCTTGCTGAAATATTTTAGGATAAATGTTTTATTGTTTATAAAGTGTCTTAATGCATGGCTGCAGAATATTTTGAAAAAGTGTAAGAAATTTGAATAGCCAGAAATCTATTAGTGTGGCGCAGACAGTATGTTAGATTAGATGGTTGATAGACTGAAAACTCCAGATGGTCTCTCAGCAGATTCCTCAGCCTTCTGTAAAGGTATATTTCGGCTTACTAAATAAATGTATAACTTGGATCCCTTAAGTTATGCCTTTTTCTTTATAACTTCACACTATTTTCATTTTATCGGGTTCACTTTGGTATTAATATAGTTTACATAGTATTAAAAATTAAGGGTGAAATCCAAATCTAGATACAGAGGCTTACTTAATTGTACTTACAAAAATTTCAGCACCCTATAAGATCATCTTTTAAAATTATTTTCATTAGTACATGTTTGCAGCATGTAGTGATAACATGTAATGTGGGAAATTTGTATATAACACATCTTAGTTCTTTACCTGTCTCCTTCCCTTCCCATCCTCCTCTGCTCTCTCCTTTCTTATTCCTCTCCCCATCCGCAAAGGCTCTATTTCTATTTTTTTCTTCAATTCTTTTTTTTTTTATTCCTTTCTCCCTTCTTTCCTCCACCTCCCTCCATTTCTTTTTCCCCTTCCAATCTGAAGATCTCCCTACTTCCTGTTCCCCATCCTTTATTTTGCTCCTTATTTGTGTTTTGGATTTCTCATATAAGAGAAACCATGCAATATTTAAACTCCCGTATCTGATTTAAACAGTTTTTAACTTCCAAAATGCTTTGAATTCTACTTTATATTGACTATTTTTATTATATAATAATTGGCATTAGATAAAGTTAAATACTAATTCATTTTATAAAGATACTATGAAAGCAAAAAAGATACTGTGATTGTTAATTGATTAAATATACTACATACAGGGGTAAGTTTTATATGGTATGTTTTGGAAAAAATAAGCATTTGCCAGCTTACAGTATGGATGCAAGAATATGCCAGACCCTTTGTGTAAGTGATGTAGTAATTTAAGTACTAACAGAGCTAAAACTTTTTTTTTTGGTGCCAGAAATTGAACTCAGGACCTTGCACTTAGCAGGCAGGCACTGTGCCACTGAGCTGTCCCGGGCCCCCTGAGCTATATCCTGGGCCATAAGGCTCTTTACTGACTTACTGGCTTTAGGATGAGGATCTCTCTGTAACATGACCTACAGCGTCTGGCTCCTCCCTCCTCTTGGCCTGACTTTCTCCACATGCCAGTCTCTGCCTTTCACCGGCTCTCTCAGTTCCTCAAACTGCTTCGCACCCTCCAGTCACGAAGCATCTGCACCTTCTACCTGGCTTTCCCTTTCTCCCTGCACCTTGTTAATACCACTTCATCCTGGAAGCCTCCTGGATACTTGGCCCATGCCCTGCTCCTAAGTCAGGTTCCTGTTGTGCGTGCACGCAGCACTCTGTGGTTGTTCTTTGCAGCATTTACCGCTGTGTTACTGTGTGTACTTGATGGATTGTTACCAGTTGATTCCACTGCGGTGTAAACTCCATGAGTACAGAAACCACTGTTGCTTTTTGCTGACTGTTATATCCCCAGCATCTAGCATGCTAGTTATAATGAACAGAGAAGACATTTTCCTTCACTACTTTCTTTTTCAAACTTGTTCCCCATATACTTTCCCGTGTCTTAAATTTATTTCTTAGATGTGAATTAAACTAAAAAGAATATGAAAAAAAGAATATGAAATGCTTTTATCTTCCAATTTGGGATATTTTTAATAACAAAAACTTAAATATCTTCACCTGTTAATCAATCAGAATGCACTTTCATATCCTTTTACTGTATTTAGAGGCTGGCCCTGTGTGTCTGTTTTCAGCACCGGGCCACCGTCTCTCACGTGAACTCTGGGGCAGGCATCTCAGACTCACCTCAGTGTTTCTTGCTCTCAGGAGAGAGCGCACTACATTAGTCAGTGCTCAATGTGTGGTAGTGGCACCAAGTCCACTGGGCAAAAAAAAAAAAACAATTTCTAGGAGACAGAGTTACTGTCTTGCAGATTGTATTATTTATGCCTTATGATTTCAGGAAGGTGCAGAAGCAGCAAATAACAGGAAACCTGAAGTCTGATCACAGTAACAGAATCACAAACAAGAAACGGCTTAACTGAAATGAGTTGAGAGTCAAAGTACTGGCGCAGATATGGCAGAGTTAAGCCTCTGCTATTGCTTTAACGTAACTTAGTGGAGGTGAGGTGGGAGAGCACTGTATTTACACGCAGAGTAAGGTGACAAAATGCCAGTGGTGCTTGCACTAGGAGGTAAAGGATGAAAGAGAGAGGGATGAGAGAGGAGCAGCCACGGAGTTTCTCCTTGTAGCCTGCTAGCACAGAGAGAAGCAGCACCCTTGGTCTCTTCACCCAGGACAAGAAGTTTGGCTTTCAGTGGAGCTTTTCTGCGGCCTAGTAGTTGAACCCAGTGAATTAAGAACTTCAGTGAATCTCAGAGCAAAACTCAGAGTAATCCACGTTCATTAACTCATGTTAAGCCCCTCATTACTGGTTGCTGTCATTACTGGGTGATATATGGAAGAGCAAGTATTTTTAAGACAGCCCAAAATGAGAAAATAAAGGATATGTTTAATGCTTTACCTAATAAAAGATGCCCATGTAACCAGAGGTCTATGAGAAGTTACTCGGTACTGTTACTTCTCTATCAGGCGAATTTTATAATATTTCAACTAAAGCTGAATACTTGGTATCTGAACCAGAAGGTAAGGGGGAAAAAAACCCCACTTACATAATACAGCAGAGGGCGCTGAATTCCGGTTCTTCCTGAGAAAGTCCTTTGGTCTAAAGTTTGTGTTTCCATTGAACACACAGGAATGCTAAGCAGAAAGCAATGCTCTTGCTGTACTTTGGGGAAGCTTTTCATTGCAGGTAATGAGCTTGGCTTTTTGAAACAATATACATAACCGATTTCTTTTTACTTCCTGAATCCCCAATTCAGAAGGTTATGTGGAAGGCGAAGTTTCCATTTCACTGTTCAGATATGTTGGGCCTCTTTTAAAATTGCCTTTAAAGCTTTTGTGCTGTTTTCTGTTTTGTGTCTTCAATGGGAGCATAGCCTTTATCTTTTGAAAGGCAATTTAATTTCTAGAAATAACCTAAAATAACTGGGGTGCCAAGTAAATAAATAAGGATGACCACTATATCAGATAGTGCGGGATATAGTTTTTTTCCTAACCAAAAAATAAATTCTTAGCTTTCTAGTCTTACATATTATGACACAGCAGAGAATATATCTAGCCGGATATAAGACAGTGTTAGTTTTCTCAACTATTTAAGATTCAGCATTAACTCTTCTTGCTGGCCACCTACATAGAAATCCTGTTGCTTATGTAACATTATTTGTAACAGTTGTCATGAAATCACCCTCAACGGCAAAACTACAGCACTGATAGTAACTTAAGTCTTCCTGTGTGATTCTTCCCTGTCCAGGCCTGGGGTAACTAATTTCGTCATTTTCTTGCTTTCTGTTTAATTTTATTACTTTTGTGTGTGTTCTTAGAAATGTTGTATTGATTTCAGTTGTTTTGACTTTATTAAAAAAGTATTGGGCCTTGGGCTGGGCGTTTAGCTCAGCGGCAAAGCACCTGCCTGGCAAGCACAAGGTCGTAAGTTTGATTCCTAGTACCGGAAGAAAAAAAAGTATCAGGCTTTATGTGATTTGCTTTACTTTTCCTAAATTTAAAATTAATGTATTTGTGTAATTCATACATTTTGTTATGTTTAGCAGAGGTTCATTTATTATGACTGCTGTACAATATTGCATCCCATAACTATAATAAATTTTAAAATCTTTTACTTTTAATGGGCATTTGGATTATTCCAAATTTTGCTATGACAAATAGTGATATCATGAACATTCTTATACATAGGCCTGGGTATACAAATGCAGTGATTTCTTCTATTGAAGCCTTGCCTTTTTTTTTTTTTGGACCAGAAATCGAACTCAGGACCTTGAGCTTGCCAGACAGGCGCTGTGCCACTGAGCTATATCCCCAGTTTCTTCAATTATAAAATTCAGTTCTCTTTTCTGTTAACATTTCTTCTCCTAAAAATGAAATTCTACTGGAGTTTTGTACATTTCAAAAGAATTTAAGCAAAAATTCATAAAGTTTCCACAGTGATTAATTTATCTTATTCATTTCTTATTGACTAAAATCTCTAAGGATCCAGAATTATTTCTGGTCCTTTGAATATTTTTATGCTCTTATTTCCTCTCAGTACTTGTTATCAACATAACCAAAGCAGAATAATAATATGCAGTGATATATAGAAATAAGTAGCTATGATTATCTATATCTAGTTGGCTAGATGAGCCCAACTGACCCAGTTCTGTGAGATTATTCAGATTGTCCTCCTTCTTTTTCTAGTACTCTCAGAAATGCATAAATATGTTTTCTTTCTGTACTATGTTATCATTCATTACCTAGGAAACTAGTTATTTTTACAGAATGTGAATGGAAGGACCAGAAAATTCTTTCTTATCCATATGAGCAGCTCTCCTTGCAATTTGAGGATACTGCTCAAGATCTTTTATTACCTTGACCTAAAAGAAGGTTCCAATTTATTTGACTGTTGAGTGTGTACTACTTTACCTAGAATTATGAGCTACCCTTCATTCCCGTGCTGTAAAAGATATTCAGACTCTTTCGTACTTGCAGGCAGAAAGGAGGCTAGTTTCAGAGGTGTCAGAAGTACAGTCTGGACCTGCTTCGATTCACTTGTTTATTTACCCTAGGTCTTTAGGAGTTAGAAATCAAAAACATAAAACTAGTATAGGTGACAGAAAAAAGTCTAAAAGCCCCACAATGCTAGTTCACACCCAGACATCAAAATGACAGTGAGTCAAAATCAAAATTCATCTTTCTTGCATTTATTTTGTTTCTGTTTCAACACAAGTTTCTTCAGATGTAGGACATGCACCAAAGTTTTTAAAAAGATGGCTTTTTATTGGTAAGATCTGGTCATCTTCTGCTCACAGGTATACTGTGGGGTCACTCAAGTCACAGTTTTCGATGTGCACATGTGACTGTATGCCAGGATAAACTTTCTGCAATGGCAGCAGAGTTCCAAGTTTCTCTCCCTTCTTGATGGGACCTTTATACTTAATTGGCTTAATGTAGAAAATTTTGACACAGAAACCTAGAAGAAAGTAAGTATAATTTTTCATTACCTGGGCCTCGAGTAGCCTTGATCCAGAAAATTGAAACATACTTGTAAAAACAGATGATAGCAAGTTGAATGACCTCAGGAAAGAAAATTGCAGAATCCTATTAAAAAGGAAAGCTAAACTGAACATGGTGGTGCATGCCCGTGTCCCAGCTCCTCGAGAGACTGAAGCAGAAGAATTGCTTGAGCACAGGTTCAAGACCAGCGTGAGTAACATATTAAAACCTCTTCTAAAAAAGAAAAGTTGAAAATTACAAGATACCAAAGGGAGAATAGATCAAGTAAAAATTAAATAGAGGGACTGAGAATAGTAGCAGGAAAACATTAAGTTGTGGAAAATCGATCAAGAACAGTGTCAACTCCAAGACATATTCTAGTACAGCTACTTTAAAAATAAAGAAAAATGGAAAATAATAAGTACAAAAATACAAACTTTCCTAAATAGCAAAAGAATTTTTTTTTAAAAAAAAGCCAAATAGAGACAATTAGTATAATGCAATAATAGTAAGATAATATGACAGTGTTGGAACCAAATATATGAGTCATATCTATAAATGTGAATAGTTTTAATTTGTCTCTTTAAAATTTTCCAGTTGACTTGAAAAGCAAAGCCCAATTCTACGCTGTATGGAATAAAACATAATGATTGAAAAGGCTAAAAATACAACTAGATAATGATTTGCCAAGCAAATGGAAACAACAAGAAAGCAAGTATTCTCATCCTGTTGCTAGACCATGGAATTCAGGCCAAAAAGCATTGAAACAAAATGGAACATATAATGGCAACTGGCTCCATTCACAAGCATGATAGTTACAGTTCTCCGTGCACTAAACAACGTTAACATAAAACAGAAACTACAGGAGATACAAGAAGAAATAGAAACCCACTAATAAAGGAAGAGTAACATACTACTGTCGGTGCAGAGAGGGCAAGTGAGCAAAGGCAAAGACAAAGGTGCTGACATGCGCTGTCCACAATGGTAGCTACAAGCTACGCGTGGCTATTTAGCACTTTGGCAACCAAGATGAGGTTCAGGGTAAAATTCACAGTACATTTTGAAGACAGTATAGAAAATGTAAAATGTCTCAATTTTTATATTAGATTGAAATAATATTTTAAGGGTATTGGGTTCCACACATTTCTTTTTACTTCTCTCATAAGGCTACTAGGAAATGTTAAATCGTGTATATTGTTTATATTTAAGAAACTCAGTAAGTTAGGTCTCATGAAAATGTATTAACAAATGTGTAGGACCTCAACACTGAAAACTACTAGTACAACAACTACCAATATAACAATGAAGGAAGACCTAACAAAAAAACAAAGGATGTAAGATGTCCATTGATTGGAGGACTCATTACTTTAAAGATCACAGCTCTTGTCAGTTTGATCTATATATTCACTACAAAGCCAACCAAAGACCCAGCTGGATTTTTGTGGAAGTTGGCAAACTGGTTCTATAGTCTACTTGGAAGTGGAAATGACCAGGAATTGCAAAGGAAATGTGAAAAAAATTTTGAAAAACTTTTACCAGATATCAATATGTATATTAAAGCTATTGTAATTACAACACTGGAAGCACACAGATTGACAAATTGAGGAAACACAATACAGAAACAGATCCACAGATGCTCAGATCCTGATTTATGACAAAAAAATGCAGAGCAGTAGAGAAAAAGTCTTGTCATGTTAATGTTGCGGAGTCAAATAAAGATCATATAGATATAAATATGAAAGGAGAAATAAATCTTGAAAAAAACCTAAGAAAATACAGTCTTTTCAAAAGTGTCAAACATCTTTAAAAAATGTTAACAAAAAATTATTACTAAATTTTATCACATTAAAAATAAAAATTTCTATTAAAAATACACCATTAAGTGAAATGGCAGGCCACAAAGTGAGAGAAAAATTATATACCTGAGACAAAGGACTCATATCCAGAATAAATAGCTTTCATATATCAATAAAAAGTACAATCCAATAAAAAATGGGATATTTGAGTGGCTGTATTACAGAGGACATCCACATTATTAATAGCTTTATTAACCATAATAAGATCCATGACACACACATCAGAGTGGCCGAAATGAAAAAGTAAATAGGTGGGCGTGGTGCTGCACACCTGTAATCCCAACACTTGGGAGGATGAGGCCAAAGTACCACTGTGAGCCAAGGCCAGCCTGGGCTACATATAGTAATGAGCTCAAGGCCAGCCTGAATTATGTAGCAAGACCCTGTCTCAAAAAAACAAAACAAAAAGAGAAAAATAGAGAACACCAAGCATTGTGTATGGAGCAACTAGGGTTCAGACACACATGAGAGGAGTGTGAATTGGTACAACTACTTTGGAAACTGTGTGCCACTATCTTCTATAGCTGAGTATCCCACATTGCAGCAGAAAATGCCAAACCCCTCTCCCCGCTAGCCAGTATACTTCAGTTTGCTAGTTGCCCAGGTAACAGTTCCTGTTCCAGTTCTGGTTGCTTCTGTCTCCTAGAAATGGCTGGTTGCTGTGATGCATAGCTGGTCACTATGATGCACATTGTACAAACCAATCCCCAACTGACAAGCCATTCTGCCTCTGAACTCCCTGCTTACTTATCCCATATAAGCCCTAGACCACCAGAAATCAGGGTCTGATATTCTGGGAATGGTCCCAATCAGTGCCTGTCCACATAAATAAATCTGCCTTTGGATCCTGGGTGTTGTGTCAGTGTTTCTGCTTGCCGCTGCCCCATGCACAGCAATTCTACTCCTCCAGCATTGTACCAGGTGCTCAGCGTGTTGTCCTAGTTGTGCACTCTGTGACAGGGGAACTGCCATGGGTAGATGTGAGAATGTACGGGGCTCATGGTGAAGAGGACCCCAGTGAAAAACTCCATAGGTCAGCTACTCCTAAAGCCCCTCGTCTGACTGGTGGACCATGGGGGTGCTTTGAAAGGTCTCTTTGTGGATGGTTAGAAGTAAAACTTACAGAATACATTTTTGACTGTATGGAAAGATCTTTCCTTAGTGGGACTCAGTCTCTCTTTTGTTCATGGACTCTGGGACTGACCTGGCTGAAGTCTAGGAACTGGGTCAGGGCTGTGACCCATTATTGTGATGATTAAAATGAGAATTTTTTTTCAGTACTTGGATTGAACCCACGGCCTTTGCACTGAGCTAGATTCCCAACCCTTTTTAATACTTTATTTTGAGATAGCATCTCATTCTGTCATTTGAGATGGGCTTGAACTTGTGATCCTCTTGCCTCATAAGTAAGGATTCTGTTTATGAGATGGAGAGCATTTTCACTTATAAAAAGCTAGTGAGCGAGGCTAGGGGTTTAGCTCAGTGGCACAGTGCCTGCCTGTGCACAATGTCGTGAGTTTGATTCCCGGTACCGGAAACCAGCCCCCCCCCCCGCAAAAAAAAAGAAAGCTAGTGAGGCTTTAGTAGGTTATACATCAATTCTGTTCAAGGGTCACCATGATTAGCCAGTGCCACAACTCTCTGAAGTCCACAAGAATCTCATTAGTACTTCACTTTTTGCCCACTGCATGCCCACTCTAATTCTGTCCTTGACTATTAAATGCTACCACTTCAGAGAGCCCAGTTTAATAGCACCGGAATTTGTGCTTTTGGGGAGTATAGAAAACACCAAGTAGCTCCTCAAGGACATGGGTTTCTTCATAGCCTCTGGGCCCATTCCCAATGGGAAAATATATATTTAATGAATATATACATATATACATTAAAATACACAAGGAACAGTTTCACAATCACCTAAAACTGAAAACTACCCAATTATCTGTCCAAAGAAAAATAGATGAATATGTGAAAGTATATGCATATGCATATATGGGATGTTATACATTAAAAAGTGAATGTAGCCTGATGTAGTGGTGCTTGCCTGTAATCCCAGCACTCGGGAGGCTGAGGCAGGAGGATTGCCTCAAATTCCAGGCCAGCCTAGGTTACATAGTGAGTTCAGGGTCAGCCTTGAGCTCCATAGCAAGACCCTGTCTCAATAAATAAATCAATAAACCCAATACCTGGAGTACCAGGAAATCTGTTTTACCTAAAGCATAGAGGCCTTTGGAACTAGTTCACATTTAACTCTTGCAAAAACGACAATATTTTGCAAATTCTCAGACTTTTGATGAATGAAAGTGTCTCTGTTCTGTCTAATATTGCTGAAACTGATTTTTGTTTATAGATTTTTTTTAAACAAAACTACATGGACAACAGGAAGGACACCTTCAGTCAGCTATAGAGCTTGGTGAGTTGTGTGCACAAAGCAGAAGCTTCTAGGGGAAGTGGTAGAACATCTTTGAAAATGCATCAGTGATTTTTGCCTGGTATAGTCCTTTACGCTCTAAGTTGTATCATTTTGAAAGAAGTACAAAACTTGTACGTATGAAAACTACATTGAATCAGGTAAGCACCAGCATCCCAGGAGGTGTCTCAGATCTGTATAGCCACCTCTCTTACCTCTTCCAGAGAGCCGAACACCATTATTGATGGCATTTTTATTTTTATAAGGTTTCTCCTGGCCCACAATCATTCCGGTGAACGGCGCATACACAGTAGATCCATCAGAGCACAGAATGTCCACGCCTTGGTGAGACCTCTGATTTCTAGGATGTAAATAGTAACAAGCAGATTGAAGAGCTGCCTTGGGGGATTTTACTGCCGAGAATGTGTTGCTAGCCCACTGTTCTACCCCAGAGTATCACAAAATGAAGCTGCCAAACATTTGGGATTTTGCAGGATTCCTCACTAAGCTTAGTCCAAGTTTAACCACTCTCTGTGGGAAGTAATGACTGTGCTGTAAAGATTAAAGCATTTGAACTACTACTTGGTATGTGGTAAGCCTTAAACAAAGATCAGTTATTACTTTTATATGGCATTTTGGGGAAATGAGACAGTACAATTAAGTAAAATTTTTCGCTATTGGAATCTTGATCTCTTCAAAACCATTTTGAAATGAATTGCCTTTTTATGAGAACCTATCATGAAAGTATCACATACCACCCTAGCATCTTATTTTTCTCTCAGTGAAAGTCACTGTAAACATCATTTACTGCATATGGTACTTAGTACAGTGAGTGATACCTCCTAGGTTTATTAAACTGGGTGCAGCACAAATGCAAAATCATTGCAGATTGTGAGGTTTCTTAAGTTTATCTCTAACAACCCCTGAGTTCTGGCTTTTTACAGCTGCCACCAAGCCCGCTCCAACCAGGCTCTTCTGCCTTCTCACAGGACAGTGTGGACCAATCAGACTCACAAAGATTGGTTAGAGTTAGGTGGAAAGTGCCATCCATTGGGTCTAAATAAGCCAAGAAGGTATTGTGTGAATCAAGTGTACAAACCATAGAACGTGATACTAATTGAGTCTCAATTTTAGCAATTCAGGTCCCATCTCATAGTCCTGTTTCAGGCTATTTAAAGTTGTTTTATAAGTAATAGCTGTAAGTGACAGATCCACTCTAATTAGGGTGGATATCAGCCTCTAACACTCCAATCCAAAAGGCTAGGACAGTAGCAGCATGATTGGTCGGAAGAAGACCCAAAACTTGAATTCAACTGTAGCTTTCACCATCTCCAGCCCTGTGCTTGACAGGACCCTTAACCCTTTGGCATTAATTCTAATTTCTCATCTATAAAATGCAACAGTAGTGTCTGATTTTCACCTTTGGGAAGCCAAGTGAGCTAAGTCAATGTATGAAGATGTTGAGAGAGAAAACAGTGTTCATCTGTTCCCTTTCTTCCCCTTAGTTTGTGATCTGTCCCCCATTCAGAGTCCATACTTAAAGCAGAGTTCTTAGAAGTCATTCCAAAGACAATAGTGTTACACATATCTCTGGGACAAAAACATAGGGCAATAGAGAGTGAGGGCACTAAGAAAGGAAGTAAGAAGCCAAGGAGGTTGATGGTCGGTTGGTTGTGAAACCCCATACCTCTGAGTAGAGTACTGTCCACAGCCATGTCTGTCACATGTCCGGATCTCATTGGAAGACTTGCCAGCACATATATTGGCCCATGGCCCAGCCAGTGCTATAAGAGGAGAAACATGAGAGCCTTAGGTATCGTCATTAGTCTCCAGGAGATCCTGAGAAATCTATTTTCACTGTAGTTTCCTTCTAGTTTTCTGTAGTTTATTGGGAGGTCTTACAGAATTTTGTATTGTAGTTCACATGTAAAATTGGCTTTTTCCCTGGCTAAGAAATTCTATTATTTGTTTATAAGCATTAGCTTCTATCATTAATTATACTTTCTTTCAGATTATCCATTAATAAATGGTGTAATTCGAGCTTTTCAAATTTTCTCAGCTCATTACCCAGCATAGGGACCACTATGTTTAGGTTAAACAAATACAAACAGCACAGCTCAAAAAAATAGGAATTACAAAATACCTTTGAAATGCCTTGTGGTTAGTTCTAATAGGCAAATCCAAATAAATGTTTGAATTAAAGGCAAAACATACAACCAGCCAAGTTTATTCAACACTAAATTTCATGTTTACAGATATAGAAGAGGAAGATTCTAGAAGTACATGTAATTCAAAATGTCAAACCATATAAATCTAAGGTGAGGTCAGAAGAGGAGGGGGAGGGAAACAATTATATTCACTAAAAAATTCACTAAAAAATTATGAAGCAATAAAACAGAAGAGGGGACTCTCATTGTACACTATGCAAACTTTAAGTACAACTTTCCTCTTTAATATTGTCAATTGTTTCTTTAATTGATAAATTGTCGGTTGAACTGAATTCCTGATTACCAGTGTTAACATTCAAAGATAGAGTTAACAAACTCAACATATTACTTTTAAGCAAACTAACTAAAAAAGCAAAAACAAGAGGCTACTAATTCGATGACTGATTTTATTTAATGACATTTTACTTTCCACTAATATAGAACAGCTACAGAATATGACCATAAGCCATATTTAATATAACATGGGTATCAAAGTCTTCCACCATGGAGCCAAGCTTCAAATCAGCATAATACCATCAAATATAATCAAATGTAATGCCACCACTTTGGGAATTACTTATTTTTGAGAACTGAAGCATATATTCAGCAATGTATTGATCTATTTGTTTTTCTTTCCTGCTATGACCATTACATTAGGGGAACATTCCTTTTGTCCTAATCCATATGAGCTTTTGCATCAGTAATTTTCTAAAATTATTATACAATTTGTTTTTCATTTTCTAGTTTTGCTCCAATTAAATCCCAGACCATGATAGACTTTTCTCAAAGTCTTCCCACTCCACTTTTATATCTTCCTCATTAAAGAACCAAAACATTCAAGGTAGAAATGATTGAGAAATGTCACCCAGTACCATATATCCTTCCAATCCCACCTGTGATAATTAATACACAAGTTTCTGTTGTAATTGTGCAACTAATGATTTTAAAGTCTACCCCTGAAATTTTTTTTTTTTTTTTTTTACATTAGCCAAGATTCTAAAATTGTACTTTTGACTTACCCATGGAAATCAAAGCAGCCAAAAAGAGGGCTCTTGTGAGGAACATCTGGTTTTTTGCTTTCCTTATGTTTCTGCCTTTAACTAGAATTGTCACCACACTCTTTGAAGAATATTGAAGTTTGAATGAATATTTTCTGGCTATTTAGCCTTTGAATTTGATAGCTCTCATTTCTTTAACTTAGTGCAAGATGCAGAGAGTGTAAGAGAATGGAACAAGTCAAATCCTAATAGTCCATGGAATTTGACTCACATGTAAGACTGATGTAAAAGCCTTTGATCTGAAGAAGCCAATTTTATTGGAAATACTGACTAAATATTAACAGAAAACGATAAGGTGAGGTAGAGATTAATGGTCTTTGGGGTTGTAGTTGGCAGGAGAATATGCATGTAAAAATGGCATATTAAGTACTGTCAGTAGAACTTTTGTTCAGTCCTTGGGTGGCATATAGTTCAGAAGAGAATTGACCATAAATAATGTATGATCTTCCATAACGTACTCTTCCATTTAACTCTTAAATTTTTTATTTTCAATTCAGTTACATATCATGTGTGCAACATTTGTAGATAATTTTAACATTTTGAAAAAAATTATTTATTTTGATCATGATTTTTAAATGTTCATTTGTAATGGTGAAAAATTAACACCCATGGTACAGTGAAGTGTAACAGTTTAAATGAGGACTGTCCACACCTATTATCACAGGTTTGTAAATATACTATTGAATAGAAAGTGACTTTTAGAATGGTATTTATAGTATTATATCATATATTTAAATCTTGAAAATAAAGTGTTATATGAATATTGTATATACAGTAAATATATAAAAATATACAAGGGCTTACTTTAGAATACTGGTTACTTCTGGAGAAGGGAGAAATAGAGCTGTGGAGATATACAGAGCACTTAAACTCTAGAATATTTTATTTTTTAAAAAAGGATCAAAAGCAAATATATAAAAATATTAATTTGTTAATCATTGAGATAGATCATCGATGTTAAATTCTGTACATTTCTATATACTTAAATTTTCTGTATATTTCCATATATATTAGTGAGTCCTTTGTATTTCTAATTTTAGATGAGCACCCACATTTAAGTAATTTGCCTATGATATAAAATCAGCATTAAAAATCAATAGCTTTTTCATACACTGACACTGAACTAGCTGAGAAATAAATCAGCAAAACAGTTTCATTCATAACAGCTTCAAAATAAACAAAACACCTAGAGATCAGCCTAACCAAGGAGGTGAAGAACTATGGTGAAAATTACTAAACACTGAAGAAAGAAATCGAAGACCCTAGAAGGCGGAAGAACCACTATGTTCATGGATGGGCAAAAATATTGTTAAAATAGTTATATAACCAAAAGCATTCTACAGGTTCAGTGCAATCACCATCAAAATTTTGATGACATTCTTGTGAAGAATATCTAATTTTGTCAGTTAGAAAAAATTATAAAAATCATATAGAAATACAAAGGACAAGAGTATCCAAAGCAGCCCTAAGCAAAAGAACAAGGCTGGAAGCATCACAACACCCAGTTTCAAATTATACAACTAAGCCACAGTAACAAAGACAGGATGGTACTGGCACAAAAAATATAGAAATATAGACCAGTGGAATAGAATACAAGATACAGAAACAAACCATTGCAATGACAGCCATCTGACTCTTGACAAAGGAGCTAAAAATATATGTGGGAGGAAAGACAGCCACTTCAGCAAATTGTGCTTGGAAAATTGGATATCCATAAGCCAAAAATTGAAATTATATTTCTGTTTCTTACTGTGTACAAAAATCAATTCAAAATAGTTCAAAGACCTAGGTATAAGATTTGAAACTTTGAAACTACTAAAGGAAAACACAGGGGCAACACTTGAAGCCATAGATATGGGCAAAGAGTTCCTGAATGGAAACTCCAAGAGTACAAGAAATATTAGCAAGATTCAACAAATGGGACTACATCAAGTTAAAAAGTTTCTGCACAGCAAGGGAAACAACAGAGAGAAGAGATAGGCTTCAGAATGGCAGAAAAATTCTTTGCCAGCTACTCTTCCGACAGAGGACAAATACTAAGACTATATGACAAACTAAAAACACTTAATGCCAATAGCCTCACCAATAAATGGGCAAATAAATTGAACAGACATTTCTCAAAAGAGGAAGTTCAAATGACAAGTAAGTACATGGAAAAATGTTCATCATCTTATCCTTTAGGGAAATGCAAATGAAAACTACACTGAGATTCCATCTCACCCCAATAAGAATGGCTAGCATCAAGAATACAAAAATGAAAAATAAAGGCTGGCAAGGATGCAGAGAAATAAAACGAACCCTTCCACATTGTTGAAGGGGTGTGCAAATTAGTACAGCAACTGTGGAAGTCAGTATGGACATGCATCAAAAAAACTAAAACTAGAACTACCATGTGACCCAGATACACCACTCCTTGGTATATAATTAAAGGAGTTAAAGTCAGCGTGCTATAGGGATACCAGTATACCCATTTATTATGACACAATTCACAATAGTGACATGGAACCAGCCAAGGTGTACGTCAATGGATAAATGGATAATGAAGAGTACATGAATATTATTCAGCCACAAAGAAGAGTGAAATTATGTCATTTGTGTGAAAATGGATGGAACTAGAGATCACTGTGAGAAGTGAAATAAGCCAGATACAGAAGGACAAGTATCACGTTTCCTCTAATATATGGGATCTAAAAAAAAAAAAAAAAAAAAAATGACATGAAAGAAAGGAAAGAGGAAGGAAAAACAGGGAGAAAGGGTGTGAGCGAGGGTAGCAGGAGGATGGATATAGTAAAAATACATGCATTGAAATCCAGCATTTTGTAAAATTAATACCCACTAATAAAAATATACATTTAAAATATTGGCAATAGCTTCAGGACATGAGGATTGTGGCCCATATCTTTATATTTTCTGCACCCACACCCCTGCCTTGTCTCATCAGGGCCAGAGGGGATTTTCTCAAGCCTTGATTTTGGTTTGTTGATGTGGCTTTGAGCAAGAAAACAAGGCAGAGGTGATAATGCCTTATTATAGCCTGGGCCCTGCACAGCCTGTGGGGCCTTTGTCTTTGCACTCACCTTCTTCTGTTCTGACATCTGCCCAGGATCTTATTTCCAGACTAATCTGCCCTGGGAAGAAAACGAAAGTTCTGAGGAGCAGCACCACCCCAGGGGCACCCAGCTCAGCACACCCTCAGAGATGTGAGCAGTAAGAGGTGGTCACGTGAAGCCATGGAACCTGGGTTTGATATATTATGCAGTGATAAATAAACTATGCCAATTAGACTGTATATTAATTTAGACTTCACAAACAACCCTTCAAGGAGGCACGCAGGGTATGTAGAGTGCAGAATCCCAATGCACTGAATTTATTAAAGAATGGAGATGGACTGAAAAAGAACAATTTGGAATAAAACAGGAGATTTTAAAATAAGACACCAAGGTATACAGTATATAATATATACCAAAAGTGCTACTTCAGACCATAAGGAGGAAACGGCAACCATACGTAATATTGAGACCACATCTGGCAAGAAATAAAATCTTGATCCATGCATCTAAGTGAGCCAAATGCGTATGCAAAGAATGGGGGGGAGGCAGAGAGGGAAGCAGGAAAGGAGAGAGAGACAAAGAGAAGGAATCAAGGGCAGAGAGGGGGAAACTGTAAATTATGAAATTCACGTATTATGAACGATTTTTAATGGTCTTAGAATAGGTTTGGACCTTCCAAGTATGTCCAGAGCCCCAGAGACTATGAAGGAAACATTGGCTAGTGCATTTTTATAGCAATAAACTAACCTCTACATAACAGTACCCTAATCTGAGTTAAAAGACAAGAATCTGAGGAAAATATAACACATATGACATCACGGGGAAGGGCTCATTTCCCTAATATACTGAGAAGTCTTAAAAAGTAAAAGATGTAAACAAGCTGATACAAAAATATGCAGAAGATGCCCCAGACTTTCATAAAAAAGTAAGTACAACTTACCAATATGCATTTGGGAATTTGTTCCATTGCACCCATAATTAAGATTTTGTGTACAGGACCCTAGGTTCAATCCCCAATACCCCCTCACACACAGTAAACCAGACTGAGTATTTCTTTTCACCTATTACATTGGCCAAACAAGGGTATGTGGACACAGGCACACTGAAAATATAAGTTTAACCTTTTTAGAGGACAATTTGGCAACACCCTTCACTGTTTTAAAAGCACAAATCCTTTGCTCCAGCAATTTTATTGCTTTTCTACTGTGGCCTGTTTTCCTGCCTTCAGTATTAACCTTTTCCCATCTATCTTTCTCTCTGAAGTCAGAGCAGTCCTCGAATCTGCAGATGAGATGGCAGAGTATTGTTTTCATGAAATAGGGTCTAGGCAAGTGTCATCAATGGTGAAAAGCTGATGGGGATCTTTATAATGAATGGATCAGGCTGCAACAGCTAGTCAATCTTCCCATTGCAGGGGGCATTGTGTGCTTCCTGGTAAAATACACTATGCTGCCTATAAATATGCTCGTCAGAAACTGAGCTCTGATGAAGGCTTTAGCTCTACCTATCCATCTGGAGGAACTTCAGGGTATAAGCAGGTGAAATGATAGCATGGGAATTCAGTCAGCTAAATGTAGACTATAGAAAATTCTGAGGGTAAAGAACTTGGTTTCTTCCACAGATTCTGAGGAAAAGAAAAAAGAGAGAGGGGAATTTGGATTTTAAAAGACTGATGAGACTGATCGATAAAATGCATTGTATAGACCTTGTTCGGACTGTGACTCAAGCAAATCAGAGAGAGAAATCTTAACACTATTTAACACCTTTTGATGATATTAGGAATTATGTATAATTTTAAGCAGAATGCATAATGATTTTTGTAGCCTTGAGCCTTTAGAAATACATACTGAAATATTTATAAGTGTAAAATCACCATGTCTCATATTTACTTCAAAATAATCCAGGAGTCTGGAAGGTGGGGAGCATATAGATTAAACATTATTGGCCGTGGCCTGGTAATTACTGAAGGTAGGTGATGGGTCCATAGGAGATTGTTATAAATTTCTCTCATTTTTTCTTATTGAAGTCCATGTTCCAATTATTGATATTAAGACTAACTTCTGTTGATAATTTTCTTATTGGTTTTTAAGAAGTAGCTATATTGTTTTGTTTATATAAGTACTGCATTCTTATTACAAAAATTACCCCAAAATGCAAAAGAAAAATATCCAC